ATGATCTGGTGGTCTGTAGGTAGATCTGCTAGTCTAATGATCAACTGATCTTGTGATCCGGTGGTCTGTAGATAGATCTGCTAGTCTAATGATCAACTGATCTTGTGATCCGGTGGTCTGTAGATAGATCTGCTAGTCTAATGATCAACTGGTCTGATGATCTGGTGGTCAGATGCTGTTAGTGTGTAGACGGATCCTCTGGGCTGCTGATCCAGTCAGTGACCCTCTTATCGGTCTGCTGATGGATGGACTCAAATGCTAGCCGGTCCTCCTTCAGAAGAGTTCTGTCCCATCATGGAGGGAAATAGCTGTGTGCTGATTGGTTAACTGGATTTTTAACTCATCTTGGGTCCATTGAAGTTTGATTGATGTAATCTCTTCAGTGAAAAGTCCTGAAAGAATAGATTCGTTCAGCCCTTCTTTGATGAAGTTTATTGTAGTTTCCTGTAGTTTGTTGGAAGACGTCCTGTTGTTTAAACAGATTAATTGAATGGCTTTAGAACAATCATGTGTGATAGAAATATTTATTGATATTTATTGATTGGGGGGCCAAGACGGTGTAGAGGTGGGGCAGCCGCCCTGGGACCAGAAAGTTGCAGGTTCAACTCCCCGCCGTTCCCACATGTCGTGGTGTCCCTTAGCAAGACACCCAATCCCATACTGCTCCCCAGGTGCTTACATAGCTGCCCACTGCTCCACCTGGGTGTATCTCAGGTGTGATGGATCACATGCAGAGAACTAACTCCATCATTGATGACAACACAGAGCTCTTCTCTGCTTCCTGATCCGTTCAATATATCAATAATGTTTATAACCTTTAATGACGTCAGGCCATCGTGTCAGAGGGATGTTTCCAACACAATCCCCAAAGTCCATGCTCAATAATCCAGGTATACAATCCAGCAATGTTCAGTTGGGCGGTTTCTTTTTTGTGCTGAGATGTTTCGCCCTCCATCCAGAAGGCTTCTTCAGTCTGGTTTGGTCAAACACCAAACAGAACTGGTTCTCCCCCAGCAGCTTACTCCAAAGTGGAAAAAAACAGTTGGTGCTAAGATGGTCCCTGGGGCATTCCAACAGAATCATTCTTCATGGTTGTTACGTTGTGGGAGGAGCTTGTGTTCACCGACTCCTCGGTGTCTCGGCTGCTGGAACCGCTGTGAGGACGTTCCTGCAGAAGCAGCAGCTTTGAATCATCTGACGGCGTGGACACCTGCTCGTCTTCACTCAGTTCTTCTAATCATCTGACGGCGTGGACACCTGCTCGTCTTCACTCAGTTCTTCTCCGTCAGCAGCTTCATCAGAAATATGAACAAATAAAATGTACATTTGAAATGTAGCTTCCTGTGAACTACAATAAACGTAAAGCTTTATATCTGTCCGCGACTGATTACTTCCTGAAATAAACGTAAAGCCAGGTCCAGAACCAGAACTGGTTTTAGTGCAGCCAGGTCCAGAACTGGTTTTAGTCCAGCCAGGTCCAGAACCAGAACTGGTTTTAGTGCAGCCAGGTCCAGAACCAGACCAGGTTTTAGTCCAGCCAGGTCCAGAACCAGATCTGGTCTTAATTCAGCCATGTCCAGAACCAGACCTGGTTTTAGTCCAGGCAGAACCAGAACTGGTTTTAGTCCAGCCAGGTCCAGAACCAGAACTGGTTTTAGTGCAGGGGCCCCTGAGGGACTTGTCCTTGGAGCTCTAATTTCTTCAGCATCTTCTAATCTCTGGTTCAGATTATGAACTGGACTAGGAACTTTATTCTGAAACTAATTCAAGGACTTTATTTTGAAATAGTTCCCCTGGTTTTGGACCGAGTACTGACCCGGTGCCCGTCTTTACTCCAGTCTCATGGTTCCCCTCGTCAGGTCACTTTTTAATTACTGAAGAAAGTCTGTTTGTTTACAAATCTTTGTTTTTATTTACACTCGGGCTTCTGAGAATAAACATCAAGTTCTGTGTGACGTGTTCCAGCCCAGGCTTCTGACCTGGCACAAACAGAACCCTCTGGTTGCTTTTGATGGTACACAGCTGAAGGGTCAAAGGTCAGAACTTTCCCCGGTTTGGAAACGTGGGTCCAGAAGTCAGACTTTGGTCAGAACCGCAGCATATAAAGGAGGGAGGAAGAGGAGCAGGTCTTCATCTGGACCAGAACTGAAGATGAGACGGGTCATCGTTATTCTAGGTGAGAAGCTTTGACCTTTGATTGACCTTTGATTCCGTTCAGACCAGCAGCCCAGGACACGCAGAACCTTCAGGAAAATGTTCTGCTCTGATCTCTGATGATCTCACAGACGTACAAAGACAAGTTTCTGAGTGGGTCAGGTGGGTTCTGGAACTCAGGAGGTCCACAGATCGGCAGAACATTCTATGAATCCAAAAAAGTTCAATCCGGTCCTCTGGACTGAGCTGAATTCAGCACCTCAGACTGACGAAGTCTCTCGAACGTTTCGACCTTTTTTTGTTTTCTTTTGTTTTTTGTTTTTTGGATGTCCAGAGGACCAGATTGAACTTTTTTGGATTTTTCTACCTGGATTATTGAGCAGCATCAGAACATTCTATGAAGTTCTCGTCCTGGTGGTCAACAGCTTATTTCATTTTGTGGAACCAAAAATAAAACAACTGATTTCCTTCGGCTGATTTTCTTCGGCTGATTTCCTTCGGCTGATTTCCTTCTGTTTTTGTAAGTTTGAGATGTTTTTCCTCTGTTCAAAGAGGAACAGGTCTGTGTTTGTTTCAAACAATCAATAAAGTTTGTTCAAAGGTTTTTAACCTCCACTCTGACCCAGATCAAGAGCTGAGAAGTTCTGGAGCGCTGGTCCCGAACAAGTTCTGTTAAATTAACTCTGTGTGTGTGTTAATGTGTGTGTGTGTGTGTTAATGTGTGTTAATGTGTGTGTGTTAATGTGTGTTAATGTGTGTGTGTTAATGTGTGTTAATGTGTGTGTTAATGTGTGTGTTAATGTGTGTGTGTTAATGTGTGTTAATGTGTGTTAATGTGTGTTAATGTGTGTTAATGTGTGTGTGTTAATGTGTGTTAATGTGTGTTAATGTGTGTGTTAATGTGTGTTAATGTGTGTTAATGTGTGTTAAT